GTCAGCATGGCTCGTGTCGTCGTTTCCATGCTTCCGAAGAGAAGGGGGGATGCTTGACCCTGCCCTAGCTTCTATTCTACAAATGTACTTCAGCCCATACACACTTACTAGCCATCCCGCGCAGATCCGATATTAACCTGCTAGTCTTGCCAAACTGAGCTTGCCCACGTTTCTCATGGATAGCGCCGGCGGGGGTGCGGAGATTGAAGCGTTGCACCGAAGCACCGCCGGCCCCTTGTAACGGAGCGAGCATTGGAGTAGCTTTTTTGTCGGCCCGCCAACTATATCTGTGCCGTTTTTGGCGGCATCCAGATCCGCTGAGCCTATAGGAAGACGATCAAGGCATTAATATTTCAAAACGGCGAGCCAATTTTGTCTTTGCGTCCCGCTCTGCTGTTTGGTGGTAGTCGTGCTCCAATAATCGACTCCACACCCGCGCATGACCCTACGTTAAAACTCCGAAGTGATCCGCGACTAGCTCAATAGCCTGCTGCACGTCATACCTGGACTTTGTCGTACGTCTCAGATTGAAGCAAGGGTGCAAAGTACCGCTGTCCAAGTGCCACGGAGTTTATTCCGCCCATGCCATGGCGGAACCTTTTGTTGCATTGCTGTAGAGTATTTCGAACCTGGACATCGGCGATGACCCTCCGGTCTGGATGTAAGCCTTTGTCGCGTGCCCGATCTTTGTGCAACCAACACCCCTAATGCCGAGTTTGCCCGTCCAAAGAAGGTTTGTGAAGATGAAAAATACAATACCTGTCTGCCGTTCCCCCCGTTGTTGCCCCAACCCAAAACAGCCAACCTATCACAAGCCATGCAGATCCCAGTCCTTGCAATGGAAACGCCTTGGCCAGAGTTTCTTGACAAACTTTGAGCTTGCTAATCAGCGGCATATACGGTACATTGTACATATACGGTTTTTCTCGTCGCCTTCTGTCGGCGCATGCGTAATCTTACCGCTGCTAGGACGGCTCCAGACTTCTCAATACATGCAAACCAAGCCAGCCTTGGATTTGTACTCATCCATCTCTTGACAGCTCGGGCCGTACCGATTAGGCGTCCAGCGAAGATCCTGGAGCACCAAAAAGATGTGAAACAGCATGTCCTTCGACTCTGTGTCACCTGCCAGTCGTGGTAGTCGTTGCGCGCGTTGGAGGAAGCATCATAATGACAATCGTGCATCACAAGTACCGACGCACGTCACAAACTGCCGACCACGCTATTGCTGTGCGGGTTATTAGTGTTTGACCGGAAAAATTCCTCCGGCGTACTATGTATTGTATGCTGCAAATCGACAGCCCAAACAATAAAAGTGTAGCTCAAGGCAGGGATGGCTGGAGGAACTCGGCGGCAATCATTGGCCTGGAAGCAATGCAAATAAAGAGAAAAGAGGAAGTAAAAAAACACTAACTACTAGTAAGGACCCTGTACAGTTGTGTTCGCAAAGCTAGCGGCCGTACCCGACTCCCCAGACGACGCTGATAGGATTAGCAACAATGTTGTCAGCAAGCAGAAAGATACACCGGGTGATACATTACCCATGCAGTTGGATGCGACGGCCCTAGAAAATGATCAAGGGCATGCGGAATTGGGCGTATTGTTCCGCGTATCCGCGCGCGACGGTGATAGGCTGTTGCCGAAGCTATGCGAATACATTGCAAGGGAGAGGTTCGTGTCATCTAGGGCGCTTTGTGTCAAGGTTAATACAATCCGTGACCCATTCATCGACCGTATACAACTTAGCGAGCAGTAGGTGGGATGCCGGGAGGCCATCCACGCGAAAAGGTGCGAGTCAAGGACGGTGATTTTTATTTTATTTTTTTTGGGGAGGGAGGGGGGGGAAGTTAGTACCATACTGTACTTTACTTTAGCGCAATTGTACCATGGTCGAACCCGGCGCGTCATTAGCCACTAACAAGAACAAGTTGGCGCCCATCACGACACATGTCTAGGCTGAGCAGCGAAGCGCACTGCACTGCACAGCCCATGTCGTGTCAAGGTTGGGCTACTCAGGTCGGGGAATCGGAACTGTAAACCCCAAACGACAAAAGCAACCAACTTTTGAACCAGCTATGCACCGTCAGACACACTCGATGACGGAGCGATAGTATACCGATTCTTGAGTGCCAGCTCAAACAGCACGGCCATGGTTTGTAACCTTCAACGTGAGCAAATATTGTCGTGGGCCAAGCAAGCGGTATCTACTGTACATATCTACATACACACATATATACATATTTAGTATATTTAGTACTTGGTACATATAGCGACTAGTAGTAGAGTACCTACTTAGTTGGACGAGGAGCGGAGTTGGCAATGGCATAGTACCAACAACACCAGTCCAAAAGGGCCAGGGATTTCTTCCATGCGTGTAAGTATGTACACATGTACATACGCATACATACATGTAGCTCGTCCGGCTCCAGTGACCGGACCAATCCTGTGATTCCGCAGCATCTTGAAAAAAGCACAAGCGATGGCAAGACAAGACGCTGCGCCATAATTTCTTGGTTCCTGCCTCACGATTTGGGTCGAATGCGAGTCAGTGGTGCAGATCCACGACGCAAAGGTCGCGCTTTAGTAACCCGTCCAATGATTCGCCTTCCAGAATGCTTCTACGGTGAATCGCAAGCGACCACCGCTTAGGCGCAAGTGTTCCCGCTGCTGCTTAATGAGGCGGGCGATGCACTCCGCGCGGGACCTGCAACAACACCCATGGCTCTACAGACGGAATGCATTCCTTTGGGGGGTAGATGAATGGAGGGGGGGATGACAAAACGTCTGGTGGTGAAACAGAAGTGGATTCATGCTGGTAATCATCTGGATCTTTTTGTTGCTTTCTCACATGAGGTCAGCATCAAGGACACGGCAGCAAGGTGCATATGACGACCTCGGGGGCATAGGACGGAACATGCATCGTCGACGCGGCTGGTGCGATGCTGGCACCAGAGTCACCAGGTCGAGCTGAGTCTTGTGTCGTGAGACCCTACGGCCCGATGGTCAAGGTGGCTGAGCACAGTCCTGAATGATGGAAGAGTGATTTGCGCAAAAGGGCTGGGCCTTGATACGAGTAGAGCGTCGAGGCCTGGTAAGGAGGATGGGCAAGTCGAAAGGGCTGCAGAATGCCTGTCACGCCATGTGGCCATGGAAAGACAAGGAGAGAGTGACTCGTGTGCGATGTGGATATACGATGGTATGTTGATGTACGTACATATGTATAGTAGTAAAGTAGCTTGTGTGGAGGGCAGGCTGTGGCAGTAAGATTGCTGTGTCGACACAGGCATTAGACAGTCAAGGCGGCCCGTGCTCCGACCAACTTCAGCCCTGTCATTGGCCAGACGCTCATTGCTCGCTACGCGTATTGATGCCCTATATGCTTCTTTCACGGGGCTATGGTTCCACACATCCATTCAGTGACTTGCATAAGTCAACTATGGCTGCATGCGTGCCTGAATCGACACACCTAAGCCCGTACATAGTACTATGTACACATCTATACCAAACGCCTCAAAGCAAGCCCCATCAAACTCCCGCTACCCGACACAAAAAAAAACAGACCACCACGCTCTCCCTCGTCGCAATATCATCTGGCTCGAGACTTTGAAACCGAGCCATCTGAAGGCGTCCATATTGCAATGCGAGACAGGCACTGTCCACCCACGGGCTCTTTACTCCGTCATGGATACGAAGCTTAGGGCCATGATGCACAGGCCGAGATTGGGCCGAAGGACTGATGTTTCTCGGCTCTCATTGTGATTTTCCTTGCAGGCGAACTGCATGTCAAACATGAAACGAAAGAAGGCAAGAGTAGACAAATCGATCAGCTGTGTGCGTCTTCCGAATCCCGTTCGTGTTCCGCCTTCCTAGGCGGTGGCCGGCCGGCCACTCATCTCTAGCGGCGTGACTCTCAACCCTCCGGAGTTGTCGCCGTCCCGATAGAATTTCGACAGACAGGTGATCCCCCACTGACTTGGTTTTGGCTAATGCAGTACAAGCACACTGTCTGAACCATTGGGGAATGTCGAATTGTCGCCTTTGCCGTTGGGGTAATTCTGAGCGCTCCGTGTTGCTCAAGGCTGGTTGGGGGAGAATGAAGCACGGGATGCCTTCCGTTGAGTGTGGACCCGTTGGGTTGGTGAGGGGGAGAAGGATTCCGGTGACCTTTGAGTGACCTGTCGAATCCTGATGACTGCAATTTCGGCTCAGTATCAAGAGAAATTGGGTTTGTTGCGGGAAAGAAACGACAATGGCGAGAGAGAATATGACTCTGTGAAGGACAATGATGATGCAATTCGACTAGTAATCAACAGGTGCCGAGAAAAGAAAAAAACTTCCAAAATGGGTATTATGCGAATGTCCACCATATAACGCCACGTAATGTCACAACTTTTTGTTTTTACAGACAAGAAAAGGGAGGGACTGAGGTTGGCGTGTGTCATCGTCTACAATCGCCTAGATTGCTGTTAGTATGAATGAACATGATCAAGTGCCGTATTGGGTAGTGTTACGAACCGCAATTATCGTTCAGTCTATATTCTCTAAGACGAGAAGTCAGCATGGCGAAGCAATTGCTTGCATTGGCATGCGGGTTCTTACACTGCAGTGACATTTGCCGGGCACCGTACGTGAGTTTGTTGATATTTGGTACACCATGCCTTGACAACATATCGGACGTGCGTACACTTGTACTGCACTTGCGTATAGTCGCACATGATGGTCTGGAAGAGATGGCTAAGAAGGTGTGAGGGGTGCAGTCGTAGGGTGGGCACAGGGTCCGCAGAAATGTGGCACAAGGTGGGAATGGACGGCAAGGCAAGCAATGTAGTTGGTACGTTGGATGGAATCTTCAAGCTTGATTGGCATGCAGATGCGCGACGGTCCGGTATGTTATAGTAGTCTCCAGACACCACAAACCACACCTAGATAGACGTCAGGTACCCGTGGACCAATGCGGAGCTACTATGGCCCATGTCGATTGGACCTGGTCCATCAAGCATGCATCATTGTAGCGGACATGGGTGCTCAGCGGGACCGGGTTCTCATGTGTGGTCGAGCCTTTTGCACACCATAGAGCTGGGTGGAGACGTCCATGTTTGAAGTCTGGTCGCTTCCAACAACCTTGAGCGAAAGCTTGCAGCCCAATGCGGACGCCGAGCGGATCAACGGGATATCCCCATGTCCAGGAGATAAGATGGTAGGGTAGCGTGCGTAATGAACGTCGGTTTGAACTCCAGGGGTGTGACAATCAGCGGAGAGACCATCTGGTGGCAAGGACAGGCCTACCATGCACTACGTAAGTAAGTTCGGAGCCACCAAGCGCGCACGGGTCAGGGTTGATTTACAACTTACCTGTACCGTTGCATGTCGAGGTGGCCCGGGGGGGTGCCTGCGGCCGTTGGAGTATCCCTGGCGGCAGACAAAAGCAAGCTTTGAGGCCGGGGTCGCTCTGGTTCCCACATCCAGTGCATCTCGAAGCACAACGTCGAGTATTGATTGATATACGTCGTCGTAGCGGCATTTTATGGCTTCGCCCGCACGCCCACACACGCCAATACGGCGCGTTTGTGGTATCGCGGCACATGTTTCATCCTCCAACTGAGGTACTTGGCTACACCAGTACTCACCGATTTTTCATCCTCGATGCTTGCTGTCCCGCTTCCCCGGTCCCAGTTTGCATCGCGAGAGCATCCGGAGGTCAGGTGTTGCGCAATCATCGCTTGCCGTCCCGCATACGGCGACTACTTGCAAGTCTGTATGGTGTATGATATAGTCCAACGGTACGTCTGGGCCCCCACTCACCGGCCTGACTGTGTCCAAACGACAATTGCGGTATAACCGCGAAATGACGCCGTTTACAAAAGGCCGACGACGGCGCCCACTAACTAGTAAGTACTGCCGGCTATCACTCGGTACTAGTAGATCAGTGCCATGTGACGCCACGAACATACGTAGATATTCCCTCACATAGCCACGTGTATCCATACTCCCCGTATTGCCCTTTTCTTACTCCCAGCAATGGGATTGGCAGTGACTTTTCTTTGGCTCGTGCCTACACCGCTACGCTGTCAGTCCATTCACCCACGTGGACACAGACAGCCCCAGGATACTTTCAAACTGCACCATGTCTTTTGACAGCACACTCGGCACCATCGGAAGCGCTACTACGTTCAAAAACTCAATGGCAAAACTGCATCTTTGACGAGTACTCCTGGAACGCCCAGTACCTGATACATGCAAACACATGAGGACCAGGCACCCGGTACAACATGTCCGCGGAACGAAGCGATGTGCCGCTCCTCTGTGCACTGCCAAAGGTGGGCCTGCTGCAGGAAAATAAATGAAAGGGTAATATATTCCATTCCTGGTCGTGGACCCGCAATCAGGATTTCAGCGTAGAACCAGCATGTGTAGCTGGTCTTCGCGAATGTCCAACCAGATAGTACTACAGGTGTTTGCAGAACAATACTAGGATGCTATTCCTGGGTGTTTGATCGTTTTGCCACCAGTTTCCATGTTGCTGGCGGATGATTGAACTCCTTTGGCCAATAAGAACAGGTTTGCAACCACAATGTCCAGACGAGGAAGTTCGATATGACAGATCAGCTGCATCTGTTCCTTGTTATATGCCATGTTGTTATCGTTGTCGTGCTGTTCATACATGGTATCTTTCTAACCAAGTAAGACGTCAGTGAGTAATTATCAGTGTTGGTTTCCAGTATAGCTACATTCAGCTTAGTTTTATACTACGTCGTGCCGCATCTGCATGACAATGGCGTGAGACGCGAAGAAGCCTGCATTAGGCAATATGCGCGTGCGCTGACTATACTGACACCTTGGCAGCCATATTGGCGCCATGTCATTGGTGCACTACGCAAAATTCTACTAAGCATGTAGGTAATTCATATGCTATTTTGTTTTGGCCAAACGCATGGGACATTCAGGCTGAAGATGAGGTAGTACACATGTGAACCGCAATGTCACAGAAGGATTGAGCTAGCTTATCCAATACCGATACTGTCAATTCTCATTCCCACGCAGTGCTGGGGCAGTGTATATACTAGAATCGGTTATAGGACTCTGCCTGACCCACAATATCTCGTCGATTATCAATCTACTTTGTAGCCCACCTGGTGCATGAACATCCATATCACAAATGTACTGGTGTTTTCTGAAGCAAGCTTCCCAACTCCGTACCTCCTGGCGCCAAGGAGAAATGTACTGAAGCGTTTATGGATATATTAGTCTCCAATACAGATGCAAATCATGAGAACTCCCCATTAGCTTCGCCAGCATCTAACCAGCCGCGACACATCTCAACAGCCTAGATAAGAACAAAAAGTCAGTTTACTCATCACGTGCAATATCTGGATAACAATGACTTACCCGTCCCCATTTCTTGAACATCTTCTCGCCTACTTCTTTGTCCACGTTTGGTTTAAAAATCATGCGATCTTTCTGGTTGATTTCCTTCAACTCCTCGAATTCTTTCCATACGCCAACGGCAAATCCAGCTGCGATGGCTGCACCTAACGCAGTGGTTTCGCGCATTGCCGGACGATCTACAGGAATGCCAATGATATTTGCCTGAGTCTGTTGTTCGTGGTCAGCAAGAAAAAAAACTTTCTAGAACTATCAAGTTAGCGTTCACGTACCTGCATACACAAATTAGAATTACTCATGCCACCGTCGACTGCAAGCATATTAAGCTTGTGACCACTATCTAGTTCCATAGCGTCGAGAATTGCCCTTGTCTGGAAACATGTTGCCTCGAGGGTTGCGCGAGCGATGTGGCCCCGCTCTGTGAATTGAGTGATGCCAAATATGGTGCCTTTCGCATCGTCAATCCAGTAAGGAGCAAAAAGACCACTGAAAGCCGTGACAAAGACGCATCCACCATTGTCTTCCACAGAGGCTGCCAAGTCGCTAATCTTGTGCGAATGCGTAATGAAGCCCATGTTGTTCATGAGAAACTTGACGCCACTGCCCGCAACGGCAATGCTTCCTTCGAGTGCATATACTGGCTTCCGTTTCCCGCCAAAATCGTATGCGACGGTGGCCAGAAGGCCGTGTGAAGAGATAACAGGCTTTTCGCCAACATTGTACAGCAGGAAGCAGCCCGTGCCATACGTATTCTTTGCAGAACCAGGCGTGAACCCTTGTTGACCAACCAAAGCTGAAGATTGATCACCGAGACACCCCGCAATCCGTACACCTTCCAATATGCCTGTTCTTATGTAACCAAATTCGTCTGGCGATGAAGACGGAACGATCTTTGGTAATTTTACCTTGGTGCGGTCGATTCCGAAAAAGTCCAGAAGCTTGTCATCGTATTGAACGGTGTGCCTGTTAGTGCGTTAGCAAATACTGGCGTTTTTGGCTAAAATAGTGGCGGGTGGATAGCTTACAGGTTGACGAACATGGTCCTTGATGCATTAGTTGAATCTGTTACGTGAATTCCGCCACCCTTTCCACCGTTCAGATTATATAATATCCAAGAATCGATAGTGCCGAATGAAAGTCTTTTTTCCTCATACGCACTCCTGACGTTTTCGTCATGATCAAGCAGCCATCGCAATTTGACCGATGACGGGTAGGTTGATAGAGGGAGACCAGTCAGATTCAACAACTCATCAGCACCCTTGCGATCCTTCATCTCACGCACTAATCCCTTAGTCCTGGTATCTGGCCTACCGATAGACGAGCGGTGTCAGCCAAATTACATATGTGTTTTGTCCATATGCCATACGTACCAAGCGATTGCATTGCAAATGGGAAGGCCGGTGGTAGTGTCCCACACCACTGTCGTCTCACGCTGATTAGTGATGCCAATAGCCTTGATGTCCTCGATGTTGTGGCCATTGTCCAAAAAAATGTTTGTAGCCCTGTCGATGCATTGTTCTACGGTGTCAATAATTTCCCATGGATCGTGTTCATGCCATCTGTGCCGATTAGAGAGAAGTTTTGGTTCTGGTACAGATATCTACTGACCCTGACTGAGGATACTTTTGGGTGAATTCAATCTGATGTTGGGCTACGGGTTCACCGAGACCGTCGAATATGATAAAGCGAGTACTCGTAGTTCCCTGGTCTATGGATCCGATAAAGAACTGTTTCAGCTTCCCTTCATCCAAGTGCGATTGTGATTCTTCTTGAATTTCTTCCTTGGGCACCGGCTGAGGTTCCGTTGCGTGCGCAGAGATGTCTTGTGTCGCCATGCTGTAAATTTTGTTTTTCTGCTTGCAATTGTATGCGCAGATCTATCCTCTAATGCGAGAAGGACTTCCCGTTTGCAATCGAAGCTGTGGGATAAGCGCGACAGATACAGTGGTTACTTGGCGGCGTCGCTCTCTAGGACTGGGCGCTGACAGCAATTTCGGGCGCAGTCGAGGTCCGGAAGAATTTTTGGCGACGTCGATTAGGTCGCACAATACACCAAATACTTTACGATTTTCGTGCAGAGATGTGTATGAGTTTTGATGTGTGAAGAACGGCCTTGGTCGTCGGGCGCGCAGCAATACAAAGGCTTTTGCGACAAAAAAAGGCCGGGGTGAGGGAAATCGAATTTACGGATTGAAGGTGAAGTGGTAGAGAGTAGATCGCAGGAAGAGCATCGTAGGTAGAAGACGGGAGGATTCGGTGGTTAATCGGCAGTCGTCGGGGTCAAGACACACGTGCCGTTGCTGTGCGGTGTCTGCCGTATGACGCTGGAAGAGGGGTGGTTTTGGCTTTAAAGCGGGGGAGGGGGAAGAGCTCCACGGCCAACAACGCGGCTGCAAAGATGCCCAGCCTTGTCACATGGAGCCTCAAATCTTTCAGCCTCCTCCGAGCCCCAGAGGCAAGCCATTGAACGCTCTCCGAATCGTCGATCAAGCCCAATGCCAACAAAACTAGGCCTTTTGCCCGGCATCGCATCCGCGCCTATGTCAGTGTGACTTCACATACAGCGGGTCGCGCGACCAACAACTCCACACCCTTTGGCGCCGTCCATTTCTCCAGTGGGACTCCAGTGGGACACCCGTCGCGAATCCACCTAGAGCCTCATCAAGAACTCAGTGTTAAGTACTCCAGGGCGCTCCCCGCTCATCTTGCTGCCCATGTAGCCTGCAGGCTCATCCTGGACATGCGTCTCCCGTGTAGACGTTCTATACCTAGAACCCCATGCCCAGCTGTCGACAGTGCTCAACCCGCCTCAACATTTCGACACGACGTCGCCACAAGACGGTTGCTTTTTCACAATGACTCGCCATTGGGCTGTGCCACATAGCCCCCCATTGCAATTGCATAGAAGCGGAATGATCTTCTGGGCGGAGTGTCTCTAGCGCGGGGACACGGGGGGAGCACAGTAGGGTCGAACCTGTGGTGGCATCTCCACCGAGTACACCGCCATGGCCATTGTATTTCCAGACATACTGCGACTTTAGACCGAGAAAACTTTGACGCCGAGACAAACGGAATCCTCCAGACCGATAAACACACACTTTTCACTGCCAGCGTAGTACATACATTTATGTGTATGAAGGATAGTTAACGATATCGAGTAAAGTGTCCGCAACCTGTGGAGCAAAGTGGAGTGGACTCGTAATGTCGTAAACCCAGATGTTGGGGATGACTGCAAAGGCGCACTAGCACGTGACGTCCAGATTCGGTAGTCTCCGAACCCTCTAGAACGCCCATTCCACTCAACCCCCCACCCCCCGCTTCATGTCGCTCCTACCAGTATTCTAGACATGGCCATATCACTGCTGCCCAAAGAACTCCGCTTACAAATTTGGGCCAATGTATACTTCAACGAACCACCTCGGCTAGTGGCTTTGGAAACTAAGCCTCACGATGAGGGGCACGACGAGCAACACTTTTGCCCACGGTATTGCCCCAGCCCGGCTCCCATAGCCGTGAACCTGTGTCAGGAGTCGCGTACAGAAGCTCTTTATCAGGCCACCAAGGCGAACCACATTGTCCATCTCCCCGCTGGACTCACGGGAACCAGTTGTGACGATTTCTATTTCCGCGTGGACACAGACATTCTACTACTTCAGCTCCATGGGTCGCGCGTGAAACACTACGATGATTCACCAGAAGTGGGTTTGTTGGCTCATTTTCTCCTTGCGACTGGCTGCCATCCAACAAAACTGAGAACTATTGCCATAACCAAAGTCATTCTACACGGGTTTCGAGACGGCAGCCTGTCCAATGTTTTGCGGGGGTTTCCCAACATCTCACGCATGGTCATGATGCTGACAGAAGACGTTTGGGACAACGATGCACAGAAGGAACTGTTTGTTCGTGCAGCTGCGAGAATAGTACGTATGTACAAACTCGATCTCATGAACCATGCTCGCGCCTTGGGCGAAACGTTCAAAGCACATCCTTTTGATGTCGACTTTGCGACGTTTCGTTGTGGGCGTCTAGATATAGTTCCCAAGGACGTGTGGAGAGACTGGAGCGATGGCGGCGACGAGTGGGCGACACTAGATAATTCTGAGCCCTTTTGGTAATACATGCATTACTATGCACATCACCACCGAACCATGTATTTACGCTAGGGGACTTCGTGATAAATCCGATCACCCTCCTTTGGTAAAACGAGAAAATCGGCTGGAGTATCTTCTACATCCGGCAACTGGTGCTTCTCCGCCCAGTCTCGGATTGCATCGAAGTTACGACATGTGTGGACGGTATTGAAATCAACAAATGCTTGTAACGGTTTGCCAGGCGGCTGATACCACACTTGGCCAAGAACCCCGACGTCCATGACACACATGAGTTGCTGTCGCAGGATATCGAGGCAATGTGCTAAGGAAGTTGTGAGCTGTACGGTTCACTGTACAGAGAAGCATCTGGTACTCACTGGTGTGGTGTTTTAGGATATTTGCGTCGTTGGAGAAAGGCCCCAGGCTTTGCTTGTGATAGTAATCGATGTTCCAGGCTAGGGATTTGCGCAACAAGTTCTAAATCCGAATGAGTGTTGGCTGTTAAAGCGTGCTTGATAGGACATACCAAGCAATGTAGATGATGCAGCCCCTCTACGTGCGCAGGGTATCCACCTCCATATTCTTCCTTGATCTGGACTTGATCAAGTGCAAGACCAGATTGCTGTGCCTCGTTTGTCGGTACCCTCACCGCGTGATCTATACTGATGTTCAGCGGGTGATACATTCATGACTTAGTTCACTTACAGTCTACACCCAGCGACTTCCACGCTGCATCAACTTCAGGACCTGCGTCTAATCGATATGGATTAGACACCAGAAGTGAGCCGTTAAACTGCAACTGCTTGTAGGTAATACCGACGTCGTGCATTATAGGTGCTGGTGGACTTTAGTAGAGTATCTTCCCACAAGTAGCCCCTGTAGACATACAGTACTTTGAAGTAAGCCTCGCACAGAAAGCGTCAGCATCTGGTTGTTGCAGCCTGACTATCAACCCTCCAAATGCGGCAGAAAAGACTGCCGTGAAGCAGATCATACAAGCTACCATCTTCCAGGACAACCCCTGTGGTGCTGACTGCGGGGGCCATGATTCGAGTGACGATCGAGCGCTCTCTGAAAGAAGTTTCTCGCAGTCTTCTGCTTGTATCATGTTCTCTTTATTAGAGCATTTTCGTAGACCGAAGCTGGGCATATTGAAAATCATGGTCGCAGAGATGGCGAGGGTCAAGGAGATAATGATGAGGCAGTCAGTCAACAGAACATGTGGGGGAATAATCCAGCAGCACACAGTACGCCTATTTGCCTCGCCGTAAATCGTGCAAGGTTTGCATCTGTAAAGAGCTATCTTTACCCAGAGATAGTATTTCAGCTTCTCCCCGAATACCCCGCAGCAGCTGAATATAACTCACAAGGCATTGTCCACTCACGGTCACCAGTGGCGCATAGGGCTGAATTAGCCTTATTGGGGCTTCTGTATTGCCTCGCTTAATATTTGAGATACTACCTCTTAGTACATGCCAAGTGTATATTCGGTGATGAAGGGGGATCACATATAGTCAAGTTCAGGCCAAAATCGATAACACCAACGCACCACTGCAAGACAACATGTCGAGTGGAAGCACACAAAGTGATACTTGCAGACGAAACGAGACGCTGAGGATATGTTGCGGTTATGTTAGGTACATGCAAGTTGTTTACCAGATCAATGAACGAACCGTATACCGCCACTTTGTCACAGTCAGCAAGTCCAGCCTGGCTTACAGTAGTCGCATAGAATGCCAATAGACAACTATCAAGCCACGATGTTGTACCAATCGGATAGAAAGAAACTGATCATACGACGCAATCCTTGCAGCTCGCATTCGGAGGAGTAGATCCAGAACCATCAGAGACTCGTACTATTGACATTTCGTAATCTCATGATAGGCCTCGGAGAAGCGAGTGGCGTTGGCGAAGGAGGAGCGTCTTTGGCGTGTCCAGCCCACAGAATCTCGACCCGCCACGACAAACCCAACGAAGAGAGCGATTTATGAGATCAGCAGTGGCTTTTTTTTCCTTCTTCTGTCTACAGACTAGTTAGTCCTGTAGGCTTCAGCTCGGGTACGGAAGCCAGCAACGGCTGTTTAAGCGAATAAAAGTCTGTTCCGTAAGCGAAGAATGTTTCCAGTACGTAGATATCGTAACCCCAGTTGATGTATAAAAAAACAACACTTTCCACGCTGCCTTTGTGGTTGTACAAGTCGCCCAGCTTGATCAAAACCACTTCCATCGCATCCACTCCAAACTCCACAGACGTTTCAAAGAACCTCTCCCACGAAAGATAAGTAAATCATGAAGTCTTTCATCGCCATCCTCACCTTCGCCTCATGCGCTCTCGCCGCACCAGTCGCCCAGGGTAAATACGATGGTTACGGTAAGGCATAGCCCCGATCCCTCACCGCGCAGAACTTGAAGTTTGCGCCAGATCTCTCTCTCTCTCTCTCTATCTCTTGAACTAACAGATATATCAAGGAGACTATAGCGGAGTGGAGGTGCCAGATGTTGCGTCGTACGGCTCGTATCCACCTCCCGCGGGCGGTTACGGTAAATACACGGGTTACAAGAAGCAATAGATGGATATGGAGGCTTTATTACTAACGCTTTGAAACGTCAAGAAAGCTTAATGGTGGTGATAACACAAGGGCTTACTTATGAATCATCATATTTTTCTTCTTCTTGGAATTCTTCGATTTATGTCTTAAATCTATATACATACAGTACATAGTATAGTTAACAGAAACCCCGTTATAAACATAACTACTATATATTTAATAAAGTGATTGTCACATATATATAGCTATTTAGCTCTTAGATACCACTTTGTGGTATACTGCAACTGTGTTTTTTGGGCTGTGTGGCGTAATGGAGCTGAGTGATCGTCTCACAGTAAGTTTGGTTTTCTATATACTATGTACTGCATATATATATATATATATAGTTAGTTATATGAACTCTAGATAGCAAAGATGATAAACAGATATTACGTCGTCGTAGATCTCAAAGCTTATAACTAGATCTGAACACAAGATTGGTCGTAGGTATAAGGCCCCGCAATGCGTAAAAAAAGAGAAAACATAGACATAGAAGACAGGTGAGGAAGGCTATATAATCCTGATAAGTAGAAAAGGCTTTCATGGAAAAACAAAAGGAAATCGACAAATAGGAAATAGTGTAAAATCATGTACAGAATGCCCAAAAAAGATTACAACAAGTTGGCAAAACTAATATGTTCCGCCCAAGCTGTTCCAAGCGGCTAAGATATCATCGCTGACGCTATCTCTACTGTCGGTAGAGGTTCGGGAGTTGCTCGTAATACAATCGGGACTTAGATGGCGCGATCTCGTCTTGCCTGCACTGTTGACATACGTCGAGCCTTGCGATGATGTACGTGTCGCAGTTGAGTGAGCACTGCTTTGCCGCTGTCGTGTTTCTATGGTCCCAAGGGCCAGTTCACTAATGTGCCTCGTAGCTCTCTTTTGAGGTTTCGGGGCTGGTGGCTCAACAATGCTGGGTGGGCGGGACGAGGCTTCCGATACCGGGGTCAGGTCCCGGATACCATGAGTGGGTGGAACAGGGAATGCCATATCCGCATCACTAGATGCTGTGCGACGGCGTCGATGCACGTTCATCTCGCGAGATGAATCCGACTTGCTGTTCTCTAATGACGCGCCAACAACACCTTGGTTCAAGGCCGACATGTCATCCAGCTCATTGCTAGTATCACTATTTGCTACCTTGACATTGACGCCCAAATCATCGACATAACGACCAGGGGTCATAGGGGATGGTAAAGGTGACGGGTGGTCAGTGGTCGTAAGTGACGTTCCGCTTTCAGCAGGCGTAGGCGAACGCGGCGGGGAACGATGGAGGCGTGATGTCTCTGAAGACGAAACAAGACATCGAGGCGATCTTCCCCGGCTGGCCGGAGAGTGGTGACGGTCTGACCAAGCATCGCTCACAGAGCTATCGCGTAGCTGGCTTGTGCCAATAGCACCGTCGACCCTTGCTGCCCTGCCACGTGCAGATGACTGATGCGGCACAGACGCGTTCGACGATGTGCGCTCTCTAGCCCTGGTATCCATTGCGCATACAGAACCTGATTCAGAGGGATCCCGAGACTGTGACTGCGATCCACAGTGTTTGTGCATGGCAGCACGCTTCTTTCTCATCAGTTCGAGTAAAGCCTCCTCCTCAGGGGTGACCTGCATGAATTTGCGCGATGGGTCAGAATGAGGTTGCGGTGCGCTGGCCGATGTACGGGAACTTGCCACACTCCGTCTCGATGGCGACATGGGCTCATTGAATGCAGTCCTCGGGCGAGAATCCTCATCTTCATGAATCACAGAAGGCTGCCTCACGTGACTGGATCGTTTACTACCGCTGTAGGTCCGATTCCGCGAATAGCGATAGGCGGGCAAGGGCGGCTCAGGCGTATATATGATGTCAATTGTTGCGGCGTTTGTGGATGTGGAATGGGTACTCATTTTCCCAGCGGAATGCTGGCGATGGTGTAAAGAGCGCACTTCGTACGCTTGGGCGCGTCCAATCATGATATCCCCAGTATAGTCGGCACTATCCACGCTCTGACGGTTGAATGTGTGTCTAGACTGTGTTGGATTAGTATCACCCTCATCTTCTGAAGAAGAAAATGACAAGACGCTTGAGTCTTGAAGATTTGTCTTTGAAAGTGCCGACTCCTTGGTTCTTGATGAGGTCTGCGAGTGATATGTGTTGACCGAATACTGGCTGGGCGAAGTCAGATGACGGATGTCGACAATATCTTCGAGCGCAAAACTGTCCCTCTTGTACACATTTGTTGAATTTTGCAATCGGGAGCCGAATACTGAATTCCCTACTGGCTGGGAGGTCTGAGCAACAGATGTATTACGGTTGACTTCATCATGTGAGTGGGCAGCCCGCGAAGCAGTGGTCTTTTGCATTTCCTCTGCGCTTTCTTCACTGTCGTCCTCGAGCGCATCGAACCAATGTTGAACACCCTTTGGAGGTCGACGCACGTGCACTTTTGCATTGTCATACTCATCCCGCTCGATTTTGCGGACCGGGCTTGTCCCGCGACGTCCTGAAGGATTGTAATGGCTGGTGCTGTTCTTGTGTGATAATTTTGTCGCTTTCTGTGGAGTTCGATCTCTCGATGGAGAGTGATGGAAATATTCCGAATTCATTGACATGGCAGCAGGCGAGTTGACCATCTTGGTCGGTGAGAGCATTGCGTTGCCGTGGCGTTGATTGCCACTGTCCTTTGGCTTGGGAAACAGTCTCGACAAATCGAGTCGAGCGGGTTTGCTTTTTCTGTTTTCCTTCTTCTTCCTTGCTTGATCCAGGATGACGGGTGACGCTGCACTCGCCACATAACCGTCATAGCCCTTATCTGTCAATACCGGAGTGCGGCCTCTTCTCAACGCGCGGTCTCGGATAGCCGAGTCAGATGTTTGTTGCGAAATGGACAGCGGGGAGTTTTTCGCATCGTAATGCGATCGAATGGTCGAGTTCGATGCCTGAGGATGCAGTCGATAGCCAGTTGAGCTGTGGTCAGAGCCCCACTTTCTTTCCCCAGAGTATATCCGCCCCAGGACATTTGATGATGGTTGTTTTGACATGGCAGGTCGTCTTGCACTCTCTGCTGTTGATACTGTATTCCAGTCGTCCAGGTGTGAGCCTCCACTCGTC